GGTAGGTGCTTGCACATCACAGAAAAAAAAAGATTCAGTAGGATGAGTGATGCAGAGAGTGAAAAAGTGATGCATAAAATTGTGCAAATACAGGCTGTAGAAATCACTAGGGTTCCATCCAGGGAGGTGGGGGAGGCTGGAGCAGAAGACAGATTTCTGAAGGGACTTCCAAGTCCTTGGCAGCTTGCCAACAAGGACATGGCTACAAGGACACAAGAAAACTTGAGGGGGAAACCACAAAAAATTAGGGATTCCTAATTCCCATTTATCTGGCAAGCTCCCTGTGAGGAAGCAGAGAATTGTGGAATCAGAATAACCAAAATCATATGTACTGGGAACATGAGGGCTACTCACAGAAATGAGAAGAGTAAAGGCTGCTGAAAACAGGCAGGTTAAACTACTTTTCCATTGCATTCCTACAGCAGATTTCAAATCAATCTGTTGGATCTGGGCATTGCACAGGGTAAAATACATCTGTCTGGTAAAAAATTCAAGGCATAGCATCTGTATTTTCTCCCTGAGCCGAATAGCAGTTGTCACAGGAATCAGAAAAGAAGTGACCCAGTTCACAGCTTATTTGCAATGCAATCCCATTAAACAGTGTGCCTTTTTTAATTCAAAAAATGTTCTGTGAATGTCTATTTCTTACCAGACAGGAAAGTAAGGTATCATCTGAACCTTCCTTTGCCTAGTCAGCCAACTAAATAACCGATGAATGTCCCAAAAGTTATGGGAAAGCCACTGAAAACAGATTACATATCACCTACCAACAAACCCTATTGATTGCATGACTTCTGCCACAGGCTGCAGAGACCACAAGTGGGATGAGATGAGTCTCTGTCAACCAACATGATTCATATTTGCCATACCCATCTGTTACATGCAAACCAGTTACTGCTGGCACTTAAATTTTATGATTGAAAGCTACCGACTCCCACTGCCATAAAGTTTTACTTCTAAGCAGTAAAGATGTTCCAGCTTCCTCTGCGAGGTTTCTTTTCTATTTTAACTTGTTTCACATGATGAACTGAATTTGGAACTGTGAGAACTAACCAGCCCTTGAACACTGCAGTGTCAAGAGAACAGTGGGGTTTTATACACATCACTTCAGTCTTGTATTTCTCTCTCCCTCAGTTCAAGTCAGCCTTGTGAAAACATTATTTGCAAAATCAAAGGAAAGGAAATCAGCTGTATATTTACCTTTACTATTTGGCTAAGTCCCAGTGTGAGACTTTGAGACTAAAATGCTGATGGATGACATGGAACTGGGAGCCTTTGAGCAGGGAAAGAGCACTCAGAGGTTCCAGCTCTGAACACTGGCGCTGATTTACCATTTGACTTTGAACCGACCACTTTGATAGCTTTACCCCCACACTTTCCAAGGAGGTAGACAGAAAATACCTACTTTGGAAGAATGTTGTGAAAATTTGCTAATTAATACCTCTAAAGTGTTTGGAGTTCCCCAGATTAACTGTTTCATGGGAGGGCAGTAATTAGCTATCTTTATAATGACAGCACTATCAGACAAGAAAAACAGAGCATCTTTAGAGTAACCAGCAAATTGCTTAAATGTCTTGAAAACAAACAGTTGCCAAAGTTGAACATTAGACGCTGAGTTTATGGCAGCACTATACTAATCACGGAGTTTAACATATGTGCAGAATCCTAAATCCCACTCTTTGCTTCAAAGTCATTTCTTGCACAACCTTATGCCACTGCTTTCCTTTCATCTCTGATAAAAAGCCTTCAGCAGTTCCAGACATATTAATGCTACTGCTGCTTGTTGTGGCTGTATATGTTCAAAATGCATTGACCCACCAGAGAGCCTGCAACAGCTTCCCATTGTAAACATTGACATGCACAATTTCATCACTCACCTTATGACAGAAACTGGGAGTTCCAGATACACTGGGAGTGTGGTGGGCTTGCAAGAAGGCCACCAGAATCATGGGCTATATTGATGGGACCGTAGCCAGGAGATCAAGGGACATGATTATTCCCCTTTGCTTGGTTTGAACCACACCTAAATACTGCATCCAGTTTGGGACCACCCCAATATAGGAAAGGTGATGACAAACTGGAACAAACTCAAACAGGGCACACCAAGATGGTTGGAGCTGGAGAACTTGTCCTGCAAGAAGCTGAGGGACTGGGACATTTCCAGCTTGGAGAAGGGAAAGCTTTAGAGGCCACTTAACAGCAGCCCTCCACCACCTATGAGGGGGCAGCAAGATGACGGAGATGGACTCTTCCCAGTGGGGCATGGCAGAAGGATGAGACACAGCAGCCGGAAGTTGAACCTGGAGAGCTTTATACTAGTTATAAAGAAAACCTCTTTCCCCTTGAGAACAGTGGGACCAGTCACCCAGAAATGTTGTGCAGTCTCCGTCCATAGAGGTTTTCAAGACTTGACAGAAGAAATCCCTGAGGAGCAAGATGACGGAGATGGACTCTTCCCAGTGGGGCTTGGCAGAAGGATGAGACACAGCAGGCGGAAGTTGAAACAGGAGAGCTTCAGACTAGTTATAAAGAAAACCTCTTTCCCCATGAGAACAGTGGTACCAGTCACCCAGAAATGTTGTGCAGTCTCCTCAAGATGAGATGGACTCTTCCCAGTGGGGCATGGCAGAAGGATGAGACACAGCAGGGAGAAGTTGAAACAGGAGAGCTTCAGACTGGTTATAAAGAAAACCTCTTTCCCCTTGAGAACAGTGGGACCAGTCACCCAGAAATGTTGTGCAGTCTCCGTCCATAGAGGTTTTCAAGACTTGACAGAAGAAATCCCTGAGCAACCTGGTCTCAGTTCACAGCTGAGCCCGCTGCAAGCAGGAGGCTGGACCAAGACATCCCCAGCTCCCCTCCAGCCTGGGTAGTGCAATGTGCCTGTCATTCCTTGGTAGATCCAAAAATTACTTCTGACTAGCAGATCATCCACAAACCTGTAGCGAAGATACTAAAAAGTCTTCCCAAAAGTAGAAAGATGCATATATTTTCAAAAAGCAGGATATGTATGAATATAAACACAAGTTTATGAGAACCTGTGTACTTGCTCGCTGTGTAAAAATCTATGCTAAAATCCAAATAGAAAATAATACTGTAAGGGATGTGGTAATAAACTGAGACTATACACCTCCAAAACCACATTCCTTTATAAGTTTTTTTTTCTCACTAAACCAATGCATCTTTCTACTTCATTCATACATTTCAGCTGTTCTGCCAAGTCATCCAAACTTAAAGGTTTTAAAGCATGTTTTTTTTCACAGACAGAAAAAAGAATAAGACCTTTATACAATATTTCATGTTTTAAAAAATTATTTGAGAAAAGAAGGGAGTTGCTGGATGCAATGCTTTCCTTTAGAAGAAAAAAATTATTTAACCAGGAAAAATAAATCAGCAACAAACACAAACATTTTTTGCATTCTCACTCATTCCAGAGAATAGAATTCTGCTTTGCAGAAGCAAAAAATAAAAATTAAAAACTAGAATATTTCTTGAAAGTGAAAATATTTTAAAGCATTTGAAAGTCTTCTAAAAAAAAAAAAAAAAAAAGAATCATTATTTTAACATCTCTCAAATATATTTTTCAAGTAACCCCAGAGTTTTCCTCTAATCTTCCCAAGGCTAGCCTGTCTAATTACTTGTAAAGAACCCAGAAGAGGGATGTCCCATTCCAGCTGTAAGATAAATAGATAAAAAGCCAATGCAGCTATTGACTTGTGTCACCAAATTCAACAAAGTGTCAACAATTCATCAATCAATTTTGTATATAAGTAAGTCACTGAGAGTGCACTGAATTCAATCATAGTTTAGGGTCGTATGAGGTGCGTTTCAATTCAAATACTGTCACGATACAGCCACCTGAAATGCATAGCCTTCAATAATCTTTACCTTTCAAAGGTCAGTTTTTGAAACCGAGAAAAAGAAGAAAAAAGCTGACAGACCATGGTGTTTTTGTTTGCACATCTGTTTATCAAATAACGGCTTTTCAAATGATACTATCATTAGGTATATACACATCATCTGTATTCATTTGGATTCATCTAATTCCCCAAATCAAATTCCTCCTTGGCTTTTTTCCCTTTGCGTGCCTCCTTGGGCTGGGGGAAGCTGTCTGCTGAGCTCTCACACCTCAGAGGAGCAAAGGGGGTTGATGATGCCGCAACACTGACGTGTTCACCAGGAAGAGCGCCGACCTCAGCTGCTTCTCATCAGTATTTTCTGCTGAGGTTGCAAATTGTCTGCGATCGCTGCTTCCTCTTTCTCTCTCTTCCTCCCCCACAGTGTTTGTCCCTGGCACAGCAACAAACCTACCGAGGTGGAGGAGGGTGAAGGATGCTCTCCAGTCACTCTTTCTGCCCAGCTATGATTTTTACCTTCCTCCGCTCCCCCAGCTGATTTGCATTTTTCATCATCAACAGTCAGTCATAATAAGGTGAGAGAAGGGAATAAAAGCATTATGCGATCCAACTTAGTAAACGTTTGAGTCATTGTGGTCTAGTGGTTAAAATCTCTCTCTCCCTTTTGAATAAGCTCCTATGACAGTACCTAAGCAGTAGGCCTGAAGAAACTTAATTGGGACTCACTGTTCCTTTTTCACCAAGTCATTTTTCTTCTAAGCTCACATATGCTACAACAGGGCACTTCACCTTGGTAAAGACCTAAATCTGAAGATCTCTGAACATCCTAAGGAAGACAGCTCAGTGTTAAGCCCCTTGTACAGATGAAGAACATGAAAATGTTAGCACTAGATTGTACCCTGATTAAACAAAAACAAACAAAACCCAAACAACCTTGGTGACACCTCTACCAATACTTTAACATCATTAATGGAAGCAATTCCAGGAAAAGGCACTGAACATTTCCATGCAGGCACACTGAGGATATCCCACTAGTTTCTGCTTTGTCATAAGGGAGCAAATGTTTAACCAGCTCTCAGAAAACTCTTTCAAATATTCCTTGATTAAAAAGACAATGTTATCTATAGTATCATCAACTCTTACCTTCAAGCTCATCACCAACTAGCAGAAATTTATTTTCCTTTTATATGGGAACCGACCGGTATTTGGGCAAGCTTCTTTGAAAGCAGCAAGATTCAAGCTGTTTGAAACGAAGCAGATGAAGAGCCTTTCAGCTGCTCTCCACCCCCGTGGCTGGCATGACTCAGTGGCATTGCCACACACTGTCCTCCGACACTTCAAGCAGGGCTTAGAGCTCCTCCACCCCACCACTACTCCTACAGAGTTGTTCCGCCGCTATAAACAGCTGCTGAGATCCAAACAACTTCTCGTGCAAGGCTTTGGGCACAACAGCACTTCAACAAACCCTTCAAGCTCATATAGTATATTTTCAGTTCCAACAGTTCCTGTTATACAGGAATTTTTTGTCTATTCAAAAAAGAGATGAAGGGGAACAAAGGTGAATGGTTACAGAAAGAGTGAAAAAGGGGAAGTGGGAAGGCAAAAGAGAAGATGTGATTAGACAAGCCAGTGGTACAGATTCCTGTTTTGCCACTTGCCTTTTCTCTAAGAGCCTACACCAGTTCTTTGCTGAAGAGTTCAAAGGATCTTTGAAACTTAGAAGAGCACCATATCTTTTTGAGGAGCTCTCCACAATCCCCCAGGCAGTTTCTGCCTGCCAGGACACACACCTACCTGGTCTTCCAATTTCAGTTCTTTAAGGAGCTCTGCATGTTTTCCCTAGTGTCAGCACTGTAAAGTAGTGCTACAGCCTTCTACAGCAGTTGTCACCACAGCCGTAACATCCCTGGTGCTTCCCACTGTCACAAACTACCAAGACACCCTACAGGTGTTCTTCCTTGTCTTAGTCCTTGGCCAAGCACCCCTCTGCCCGCCCCATGTCCCACCAGCCACCTCCCTGCTACCACTGAGCTTTGGCCCAAATGCCCAGGGCAACATCGTTCCTGGTGCTGACACAGAGACAGTATGAGTTTATCACTTACCACAGCTGGATAATACAGGTCTTTCTTGTAGAGGTTACAGGTGGTGCACAAGGCTGAGAAGTCCTGCACAAGTCTTCACAGCACCAGCAGGATCTCCAGAATTAAAGTAAGCTTCCTTGGCCGTTGCAAGGCAATGCAAGGTTGCTCGAGAAGAACACACTTGTGCAGATTTCATACCTGACACTTTCTAGAGTACTTGGCCCAAGGCTACCATACAAAAAGAAGTATGGATAATATGGGTGTCCTGAGGGGATGCAGAGGTGAAGCACCTGTATCTTTGATAACTGAAGAAAATTGATCTCATGGATTATTGTTTTCTGAATTACCTACACGTGAGGTTTGAAAATGAAATATAAGTGGAATTTTTATTTCATGCTCTGAACTGGGTCAAGGTAAAGGTGAGCCCAGACCCTGTCTCTCACCACAAACAGCAGGTGCCAAAATAGAGAGCACAGGAATAGAGACAATATAAAGCAGGGCTACCATGGGGACTTCTGTTGTTCCACAGTCTGGACACATGCTGAAGGAAGATCTGCACAGCTTCATTGTGTACAGGAGCGATTGACAAGCTATCGAAGAGGCAAGAGCCTCTCCTTCCATAAACTTTTCTCCTTGCTTATTGAACCCATTTATACATTCAAGAAACCAAAACCCACATCAGCTCCCACAATTTAATAGTGTCGTGTGCAGAAAAAGTACTCCCTTTTTGCTTAATTTTACTGTCAGGTTTGTTGGGGGCTTTTTGTTTGCTTGGGGCTTTTTGGTTGGGGTTTGGTTTGTGGGGGGTTTTTTTGTTGTTGTTTTGGGGTTCTTTTTAAATGAATGGTGCATATTAATTTTCCTATGAAAAAATGAGTATTCATTGCCACCATGTAACCATCTCTGTTCCAGTCATAACTGGCAGACCATATCACATTACCTCTCAATCCTCTTTTTCAAGCCGAGGAGCCTCAATGTACTGAAACCCTAGTTCCCCTTTTCCGTACCTCATTTCTGACCTCGACTTCACATCTTTTAATTAGCTGTCAACCCACAAAAGACCTGCAGCTGCCTAACTGTCACAAACCCTTGACAATAGCACTGCCAAAAGATTTCTGGACACCTTTGTCCACTGCGTTGATATGTACATGGGGCAAGTAGTGCAATAACGATTTTGTAGAGCAAAATAAATAATGCCAAGGATCTAACATGCACACAAGGATTGCAAGTGAGTAGCCATAGTCTAGTCTCTTGGACTGATTAGCTCCTCATTTCGTATAATGTGAGATCAGTCTAGTGTGTGAACTACAGCAAGGTAAGTGAGGATAATCAGGAGATTTGTTTCACAAGTGCACTTCTGACCTGAATTAACGCACCTTTGGCATCACATCCTCTATCAACTGTATGCATCTTCAGTTAGGTTTGCTCATTAATCCAAAAAACTCTGGGTTTGTGAAGAATGTCATCTTTACCCCCAAAAACTCAGTTAGGATTACTCTTGCTTGATCCTTGTGAATCCATCTGGTTATTAATTTTCCACTTTCTATTCCTTTGTGTTGTGGTTTAACCCCAGCAAGCTGCTAGAACCATCCAACCACTCACTCACTCCCCTCAGGTCAGATGGGGAAGAGAATTGGAAGACTAAAAGTGTGAAAAAGCTTGTGGATTGGGGTAAAGACAGTTTAATGGGTAAAGCAAAAGCTGCACACACAGGCAAAGCAAAACAAGGAATTCATTCACTGCTTCCCATGGGCAGGCAGGTGTTCAGCCATCTCCAGGAAAGCAGGGCTCCATCACACTAGCAGTTTCTTGGGATGACAAGCTTTGTAACTCCAACGTTCTTCCCTGTTCTTTTTTCTTTGCCCAGCGTTATATATTGAGCACAACGTAATATCCCTTTGGTCAGTTGGGGTCAGTTGTCCCAGCTGTGCCACCTCCCAGCTTCTTGTGCACCCCAAAACTACTCGCTGGCATGGCAGAGTGAGGAACAGAAAAATCCTTGAGAGCTTAGCGACAACTAAAGCCACTAGTACACTATCAAAAGTGTCTCTCATTGCAAATTCAAACCATAACACTATACCAGCTGCTAATAAAATGTTAACTCTATCCCAACTGAAACCACAACACTTTGGTAGCCTGTAACTAATTCAGCCAATAAATTATATACGATAGTATATAATTTAGCATTTCCTTTTCCTAGTTGCTTTAGAATTCTGCATCAATACTGCCAGTTGCTAAAGACTGATGAACAACCTTTTTTACTTACTTGTTTTGAAAAATATCCTTATAGTATTTCAGTTTGAGACAGTTCCTTTGATTTCTTTCATATAAAAAGGTTCTCCTCTAGAAACATTTAGTACAAGGGCTGATTTAACACTTCCTTATAGTCTTGTCATCTTTTCCCACCTTTACAACTCAGACTGTATCAAAATCTTTCTCCAGTTCTATTTCTGATGATCTGAAAGAATTTTGACATGTCCCTAATTTTTTATTACTTTAGCAATCAAACCAAAGAGACTAACAACTATTTACCAGAACTTATGGTCTTTTCCACCTGACTCTATTGGATGTGTGGTGGGTTGACCCCAGCTGGATTCCAGGTGCCCACTAAAGCCACTCTATCACTCCCCTTCCTCAAATGGATGGGGAAGAGAAAAATATAATGAAAAGCTCATGGCTCAAGATAAGTACAGGGAGAGATCACTCCCCAATTACCATCACTGGCAAAACATACTTGACTTGGGGAAAAACTTAATTTAATTTATTAAACAAATTGAGTAGGATAATGAGAAATAAAATCAAACCTAAAAAAACATACACTCCCTACCCCTCCTTTCTTCCTGGGCTCAGCTTCACTCCCAATTTTCTCTACTTCCTCCCTACCAGTAGCACAGGGGGACAGGGAATGGGGGTTGTTGTCAGTTCATCACACATTGTCTCTGATGCTCCTTCCTTCTCAGGGGGAAGATGACTCACACTCTTCCCCTGCCCCAGTGTGGGGTCCTTTCCACGTGAGATGGTTCTCCATGAACTTCTCCAACATGAGTCCTTCACACAGGCTGCAGTTTTTCACAAACTGCTCCAGCATGGGTTCCTTCCTTGGGGTGCAGTCCTTCAGGAACAGACTGCTCCAATGTGGGCCCCCCACCGGGTCAGCAAACTTGCTCCAGCATGAGCTCCTCTCTCTCCACAGGGCCACAAGAGCGTTCTCTAGCACAGGCTTCCCACAGGGTCACAGCCTCCTTTGGGCATCCACCTGCTCCAGCGTGGTGTCCTTCACAGGCTGCAGGTGGATATCTGCTCCACCGTTAACCACCTTCGGCTGCAGGGCAACAGTCTGCCTCACCATGGTCTTCAGCACCAGCTGCAGAGGAATCTCTGCTCTGGTGCCTAGAGCACCTCCTCCCTCTCCTTCTTCACTGACCCTGCTGTCTGCAGAGTGGTTTCTCTCAGATATTTTCACTCCTCTGTCCGGCTGCAATTACCCAGATGGGGACACTTCCACCCCTTCTCTGGGATAACATATCCCAGCAGCACTACCACTGCCACTGACTGGCTCATCCTTGGCCAGCAGCAGGTCTGTCTTGGAGCTGGTGGCATTGTCTCTATCAGATATAGGAGAAGCTTCTAGTGACTTCTCACAGAAGCCATCCCTATAGCCTGCCCGCTAGCAAAACCTTGCCATGCAAACTCAATGCAGACGTGACTTCCATTTCTAGAAAAAACAGGTTTTTATTTCTGATAGACTCTTGTCATTTGCTGTTTATACATATTACTTTTTCATTTTATCATGGGTACTTCTTAAATCTTCCTTGACAGGTGATAAGCATTTACTCTTAGTTTCTAGTCATAGCACATTTAAACAGTCTTCATTCCATTTCAAACAGTTTATCCTTTTAGCTGTTCCTCTTATTTTTCTCTCAATATACATTCTCATATAATTTAGGTCCAGTTTTTAAAGTTACCTTATTATGTTTCTCAACTATCAGAGTGATGCTGAATTTGAAGTCACCGTGGTTCGTTCTGAGAAGTGGTTCTTACGCGTTATGCCAGGCTGCTGGCATTGCTCAGGCTCACCCAAAGACTCTTATCTTACGGGTTGGCTTGTTAATTTTTCCAGGAAGGAGACATTTATGGTATCAACAGTAATCGAGCTACACTTGTTTAGCCTAATGAAGATAAGAGATTCAATGCTCCTTTGGCACTCCCCTTAACCACCTCATTTTTTGTTACTGACATCTGGAATTAAAGTTCT